ATACCAGTGGCTTATCTAGGGGAAGAGGGCTAAAGAGGTGGGGGGGGGGGATGCTATGGGAGATGTTAGGAGCCAAGTGATTTAGAACTACTTGAGTATACTTTTGGGTTAAATAATTTCCAGGGGTTTTCACTTAGTTGGGGTAGGGGGGGCTTATTTTTTGAAGTGAGGATGGGCATGCGACACACACACACCCAAATAGACACACTACTGGATGAGAGATTGCTGTTTTAGGAAATTATATTAAGACTTGAAGAAACATTAAACTAGTTGGGCAGACAACTAAAAGACTATAAAATTTGATCTCACAAACATGTCACCTGCCTGAATATGTCCATGACGAACATATTTATATGCACATCATGACTAATGTATATATGGGCATACAACAGTTGTTTGTCAAAGAAAATACAGTGGACATATTTTAATATTTTATTATAATCATGGTTAAAGTGGTACCCCCTTCCCCATTTATTTGTGTGCACATATTTCTTCTATGCCTGTACAAGCTCTTTTGTAGGCAAGATTAGATCTATTTGATTGTTCATATTCTGTTATTTTTTCTAGACATTGGACGTCATGATGGCGAATTATGCAATGTCAAGAGGTGAAGGAAACTTTGAAGACGCTAATGAATTCAAGCCAGAACGATGGCTTAGAGGAAACGATGAAAGGAAAATGAATAAATTTGCCTCACTACCATTTGGTTACGGAACCCGTATGTGTGTTAGTAAGCTTACAACATTTTACAAATTTGTTGTATTCCCCTTTTTTGAAAATAAAACAATGAATTTAACTTCTATTTTGGTTTCAAATAAATTTCTGTCATTTTTAATGGACCATAAAACTCTTGAATCTTAAATGCTATATGTTGGAAAGCCTATGTTCATCATCCCGGAATACTCCATCATTTTTAGTTATACCAATTTTTTTACCTGTTTGAATGTACTATAAATCATGGCGCACACTGAACAACGGTCAGCCAACAATCGGTGACAATCATTCTGCACCCAAGTTAGGCTTTCCTAACATCATGCCTTCACTCACTGAGTAAATCATTGTTGAAGATGATGTGTTGTGCACACCTTGTTTCTATGTTGTGGTCTGCATTGAATTGTGTTTGCTGATGCAGTTTGATCCAAGCATAAAATAGAAAATACTTTTTATTTTTATTAACATATTTATTATATATCTTTTTGGAAGTGTGTTAATGTCTCTGTGGTGATGAAAATATCTTGTTCTTTCCAGGAAAGCGGCTTGCAGAAATGGAAATCAAAATATCACTTTCAAAGGTAAAGAAGCTTCAGGAAGATATTGCTTTTAATAAATTCCAATTGAATGCACCATTTTCAAATAGAGAAGTTTAATATGGTATGTACATATACCAGCTCCTAATGGAATTGGTAAGCCTGTAATGTTTCTGTGAAATGTAAACACTCTGACCTATTTGTCTCTTTTTTGGGGATGAGACTTTAACCAAATATATTTTTGGATGCTCTGGATTTACAAAAATATTGCATGGGCAATTATAAATGTGGCTAATAAATTTCACAGTTTAGCTCAGTTGCTAAAGCTTTAAACCTTTTCTTTCAGATTTGCTTGAAGTTTTTTTGGAGCCAACAAATGATGAAGAGCTTGTCGGAAAGTTAAGAGGCATATTGATTCCAGAAAAAACATTCCAGTCAAGTTTGTGCATAGAAATGTTATGGATGAATAACCTATTAGTGGCATATAAACTGAATAAGTAATAGAGTACTGTACATAACATGAATATTTTATTACCTGTATTTTTATATAGATTTTAATGACAGGGTTGGCAAAAGCATGGTTTCTCATTGAACTGCAATATCTCAACTACCTCTTGTACAAAATTTGTACATCAGGGGCGTACCGTGGGGGGGGGGGTCGATGGGTGCGGTCGACCCCCCTTTTAAAGAAAGTGCTCTTTTAAATATGATTTAAAAAAAAAATCTAGCATAATTAAACTGCGCATAACATGAAGGTAGTTAATATCAAAATAAATTATCCTTCGCCTAAAAAATGTTTGGGGGCCCTTCCTTTTAATATTTTGATTTTTTGTCTTTTTTTAAACAATCCATATAAAGTTATACATTTTTAATCAACTTGATACTCTAAGCCCGTGCGCCAGTGGAGTTGTGTTATGTGGTTACGCATCATTGCACTCTGCCATTATTGTTATCTGTAGCTGCATGTTTTCCGTGCAGCAAAATAATCTATTCGCGCGCAACGCAAAACCGAAGGCAATGTAATTATTTGATGAGAGCAATTTTTTCTCGTAAGGTAGTTGAATACTGTAGATTATTTTTTTCGGAATATAAAAATGCCAAATAAAGAAAGAAGAAAAATAAAAGAGAAGACGCAACTCAGAGAAGACGTAGGTAAGTTAAATTACCTTTAGTATTGAAAGCGTAGTTAAAGTTAAGTTAAAGAAATATATTAAAATATAAAATTGAAAGGAAAACGATGAAGAAAAACTAAGTTAAAGAAATATATTAAAACATAAAATTGAAAGAAAAACGTTAAGAAATAAACGCATACAAAATGTTACTATAAGTAATTATATGTTCCCTATATCATCATTGTTTATTTTTCAATACAGTATATACATTTATAACTTAATTTAAAAAAAAAATTAAAAGTGGGACGATCCCACGAAAAAAAAAAAACCCTTTTTTTTAATTCTTTAATCTGAAATGCTCACAGGCCCGTATTCAGGAGTTCCACAGTCCAATAGGCTGGTGGTATATTGAGTGAATATAGTCTGGTGTTGCCCAAAATCTACGTTTACAATTAGGCCTATTTTGTCAGACTTGGTATTGAACTTAATGCACTAGAACGTAAAAACCTAAATTTTTCCCCTTTTGCGGCCCCCTAGCCCCAGCATAGTTGCTCGCTTCACTCACATATAACGCACCCCGCGAATTCTGAAAGCTTCGCTAAATTGCTCCGAGTTCAGCTTGCCCCAGCTTTTGTTTCGACCCCCCCCCCCTTAGATTTTTCATTGTACAGTGAAATCACCAAGGGCTTTAGTTATTTGTCACAGTAATCAAATGTTTGTGACAGCATCGACACATATATAATATCAGGAATACTTAAGAAATCAATACATTATAGTGATGCTGCAGTGTAAAGGTTGTATGTAGCGGCCACCTGCGCTATAGCTTGGCCACTCGACTTGTCAAACGTAGTATGGAAAGCTTGAGTCTTATAACAATTAACTTCAATTTGTAGTAATTACTGTATCATGTTTCCTGTATAGTATCCACCAATGTCATGTGTAAAGAGTGACAAAATGTTATTGAAGAGATCAGATGTAATGTACATCCGTCGGCCAACAAGGATTATATATGGCCGGTACTTGAGTATGGTCCTAACTCTGCAGAACTCAGGCCTTGCCAGAGAGCATATTGATCAAGTGCATTCAAAGAAGCATTTAACATTGGCATTCTGGCTATTGAATTTACCAGTTTTGAAAATTACATATTGAGGCTTGGACTGGAGAGATTGGCTGCCCATACTCATGGTATCACTAGGTACAACATTTCAGGGCTACAAAGTTTAGTAAAGACTGGACTCTTATTAGCAATTTATCCTCTACTGTGACAACTCTACTCAAGACCATAGTATATATTTGCATTAAATCATGATTTTTTAATAGCCCACTGCATCATATGACCAACATCTTGAACTCTGTGGAGTGTTCAGAGAGGTAGATGTTGAGATGCTTGGCCACACATGACTCTTTGGACAGACCACAGTTAATGATTGGTTCATGTTTTAAATTGTCTTTGATCGACATTACTGTATTTGTAAAATGAACGCAATGCATAGTTAGTCCCAACAAGTGGTTTTAATGTGGTTTATTAAAATTAAATTGAATTAAGACTGTGTATTAAGGTAAATTCTGATTTGTTTGATATCTATTTTTGTATTTTTACAATCAATTTTCCTAAAAATTAATGTGACAGTGTGTTTTTGCCGTATCCCTATTTTAGCATTAGTTCCATTCTATCACATACCATTGTTTATACTAATTGCATCTGCAGACTACATTTTCCATCAAACTGCCCAATGACCACTAACCACAAGGTTGCCCAATTGGTTTATTACCCTGATGAGGGAGGATGCCTCATCACTACCATATTCATACCACCTCAAGTAAATAGCTCATCTCATGTTAAGGGATTAATAGAGGGTGCATTAATACCCCAATCAAGGGTGTCTGGTAAACAAGCAGTTTGTTTGGTAAATCAGGCAATTTTTCATAAGTGTGTTTCATTACTGCTGCAAACTCCAATGGAGCAAGACAGTAATCACATCTCTGAAGTTTTGTCATTCTGAAAGTGTATGTAGTTTTTGTTTAGTTTGATAAGTTAATTATATAAAATATGTTAGTGTTTACCATATATATTAGTTTATACTTGGTAATATTTTTAAGATGTTTAAAGTGAAAGACTTTGCTGACTATTTGGCAAATTTAACAAAACTATTTTTTTGTATACAATGCTGAACTTAAATTAACTGTTTCGCATAAGTTTGTGAATGATTTGCATTTTAATTATCAAATGTTTGACTTTTGAGATGTAGTGTATAATGCACTTTATAGATACTGTACAAAGATAATAGGCATGGTTGGACACCTACTGTAGGTTGACCATGAAGTAGATGATGACTCATACTAATTACATGATAGTTATATTTTAACCCGTGTTGGCGCTATACTATATCTGTATAAACTAATATATGGTAAACACTAACATGTTTTATATAATGAAGTTATCAAATCTAAACAATATAAACGTTAAACTAAGTATAAAGTACATACTCAAAGACAATGTTTTTAAGCTTTTTTCTATGTTTTTTTTCTATGGTATATTACGCACACATTAATAAGAATAAGAGCTCTATGGTTGTCAAAAATCCCTGATAAAAGATCATGTTTGTTTAATGATACTACTACTAATAGTAATAATAATAATAATAACAATGATGATAATGACGATAGTAATAATTGATATTAATATTAATAGCAATAAAAAGTGAAGAAAATTGTGCTAAATGCGAAAAAGTTGTGATTTGTTGATTATACTATAGTATATATAGTTAAAGCTTGTAAGCTATAATTAGGCCTATAAGTTGTCCTGGATATTAAGTAGATTCCTGATAAAAGATCATGATAAATTTGTTGCCGTTTCATTTTTACTATGGTAATGTGATGATGATGAATTTTACTATAATAATAATAATAATAATTTATTTCGGAAAAACGCTTTTAAAACGGCGGCACCCATTACAATAATGGTACATCCAAAGTAACAAAATGAAATGTACAAAGAAAGTCACAAAACCAAACAAAGGAATATACAATAAAAGAGCATGAAGTAAAAAGTCTAACCAAACCATTAAGGCACTCATCACAATAATGGTGCTTCAAAATTAACAGAATAAAATACATAGTGAGATGCAAATCAATAAAAGGGAAGTACTGTACACAAAAAAAAAAAAAAGTCACATAAAAATAATAATAATATCAATAATAATAATAATAATAATAATAAAAATAAAAATCATAACATAGCACCATCTTTAATCTCAATTCTTTTTGCCCATGCCTTCTTAATATAAGATTTACAAAAATCATCAAAAATCAAGTGAGCCAAGTCAATTAAGTGATTGGGTAGATTAGGAATAAACTCTGTGCAGTCTCCGCCTAACATAAGGATAAGAAATGCATCATTATCCTTTGTAAGGATCTGATTACATAACTCAGATAAGCCTGAGTCATAAAGTTTATTCACTAAAATTTCGTGCTCAGATAACCGAACTTCTTCAAGCTTATTACAAATAAACAGAAAATGTCGCAAGTCTTCAATACCATTGTTACACAACATGTACCAGGATTATTATTATCCCACTTACTAGCTTTTATTTCAAGTTGAAGTGAGTTAGAGCGTGCCTTAAACTTAAGTTGAGCACCATAAAAATCAGTTTTAGTTAGGAGGTAACTTTCCATTTTAGGAATCCTTTTAAATTTAATATAATCAGAGAGGGATGATTTTTCGCTGGTTTTATTAAGCCAATCAACTACATTCATTTGTTGGAAAGTATATTTAAATGACTTAAACCATGCTGTATCAGGGGGAATATCACTTGAAAAGACATGGTCAAATCCACTATTATTAAGAAGGTTATTAATAGAT